TAAAAACATGCTAACAGCTAGCTGTGACCATTCTGCTTTAGACATTAAACTATCCATCTTGCTTTTGTCACCTTTAGCTCTTCTATTAATGAAATGGCATCTTCAGGGACCCCTTGGCCACAGAAAAACCTGGCTTAAATCCACCTCGTAGGTGGACAACAAAATTTCTTTCATTTTTACTTTCTTTCTAACTTACATCTTGGTCATTGAAGCTGGTTCCTCCCAGGTACCCATCTGCTTTAAAATTTGAATTCTGAGAATAACAGAATTCTGAGATTCTGACAGAGAAAAGTTAGAATTCTGAGATTGAAGTAAGAATTCTTTTTTTTTTCAGTGACCCTAATCATCTTCTGGAGATGAAGTCTGTGTTCTGTCTGAGAACAGATTGATACCATACCATTGATACTCCAGAGGTTTCTGTTTTTCCTTCTAGTTCTGAAGCTAAAACTGCTCAGCTGTGTGTTAACATTTACAAAAAAAAACAAAACAAAAAAAACAGATTTGAGCTCCAAGTTTAACCTGAGAGGGAATGGTCTGCATGAAATGTGGTCCACTCAGCCTGGTGGCAGCGAGGTAAATCACTGAGTGTGAAAAAAGGAATCCCAGAGTTCAGCAGTGCTGCAAGCAGTTCCCAAAGCATCAGTGTGAAGATCAGCAGACACAGAGGATGTATTGGTATTGGAGCTGTTTCTTCAGTCTGATGGCTTCCTCATGCAGTCTGTGGGATCAGCGTTTCTAGACCTGCCTATAGAGAGCAGTTTTCAGTTGAAGTGAGCCTTCATGTTCAGGTACCTCTGGAAAATGGGGAATAATGTGGAAAAGTTCAGTGTTTTTTGTCACTCATAATGCAGCAGTGTCCTCTGATGGGGACATGTTGCCATGCTGTCCAACACATTTGGAACAATGACCTATGTGTTTGAATCAGATGTGCTGTCCTTTCCGAAGACCTCCTCTCCTCCTGGTCAGGCTCAGAAACCCAACAGTTTCCTGTTTCGCACGTCTTCTCGGAGCAACGTCAAACCCACAGGTAAACACACACACACACACGCACACCCTCCCCAGCTCTGCTCCTTCTACAACCCCATTAAACTCCTCTTGCTTTGCTTCTGGTTAGGGACCATGTTTACTCTGGGAGAGTCTGGCAGGAGTGAATCTCGCACCACTCTGCGTTCACCGAAGGAGGAGAGAAAAGACCTCACACAACTACGCAAGGTAAGCCCTGCTGCAGCACCGCTTCCACTTCTTTGTCATGTCTTCATCTCAGACTGGTGGGTTACTGAAGATGTCTTCACAGCTGAACTTAGAAGTAAGTCATGGAGCCCATGAAAAGGACATCCCCATTCCTGATGCTAATCTGAGACAGACACCAAGTTCTAGTCTGATACTTCAATAAAGTTAAAGGTTCAATATAATCTAAAATATGTCATTTCTCTCATCTAAAAGATACCTGGAGTGTTGCCTTGATTCTTTCATGTATGTTTGAGAAATCCCTTAGTCTCCATGGCAGCCATTCAGCTGTGCAAAACGGCTGGATGAACCTAGCCCCACCATCAAGTCGCAGCTCCTCCTCAGAGCTGCAGTTTCCAAGCTTCGGCTTCCCAGAGCGCAACTCCCCCACTCAGCTAATTGCTGCTGGCTAGTTTGAAGGTGTAAACATCTGGTGGAACTGTGCATCTGCTGAGCTCATTATAGGACCTACTTCTCAGTGGTAAAGACGTTGTTAAAGGGTTAATGTAGGATCCATGTTGTGATGACTTCTTGAAGGCGGAGTTTTAGAAAGAACAGGGTTTTTTAAAAAGGCAGAGGCCCAATTTCAAGACATTAAATAAAATAAAAAAATTTACCAAGAAATGTACCTATATATATCTATATTAATATATATATAGATATATATAGGTAAATTTAAAGTTCTATTTTTTAAATGCGACTTGGGCAGTTATGCTATTAGGTTAATGAAATGCAAAAAAGTAATTATATCTGCTAGGTAGACGACACACAGATTAGTATGTTAAAGTTCATTATTACTAACCTGCTTCTTTCAGATAAAGATAATTTAAATATCAAGTATAAAATCTAATCTCTAATTCAGTTGCAAGTAAGATCTTGCTATAAATTTCTATGGGAACCTAGCCCAGGTCAGAATCTAACGGATCTTTGTATCATCTGTAAACTAGGGCTGCTCCGATTTTTAAAAGCCGGACTTGTTGACTCTGATTTTGGCTGATCCGTTTTTGTTTTTGTTTTTTTTGTGTCGATTTTTTGTCTGAAAAGTTGCTAAATATAGCAACAAAGTCATTAAGTTGGCAACATTAAGGTGATTATACGTAACCACACATGTACAGATGTGACCTGATGTTCGTGTGTGTCAGTCAGCCTCTCACCCCAGAGCAGAAGGAGACAGTGGCTGATGTTCAGAGATTAACTCGGTTTCTAATGTCCATATTGACTGACGGCTGCTGTCTGATTTTTCGGTGCAGCCCTAGTGTTAGCTGTTAGCTGTCCTCCTCTTAGAAATCCTTGTTGCACATAAACATGGAGCCTAACTGTTTCCTGGCCCTCAGACCTTAGAGTCTCGACTGAAGACCAGTCTGCCAGAGGACCTCAGCGAGGCTCTGTCCAACGGAACCGTCCTCTGCCAGCTGGTCAATCAGATCCGGCCTCGCTCCGTGTCAATCATCCACATCCCCTCCCCTGCAGTGGTGAGTGCTGATCAGCCCGTTCCTGCCTCCTTCCTCTTAAACTCCACTGGAAGGGCTTAGAAAGGTGACGTCAAATGTTGTGTTTCCTCTCCAGCCCAAACTGAGCTCAGCCAAATCTCGACTGAACGTTGAAAACTTCATCACTGCTTGTCGCAAGCTGGGAGTCCCTGAGGTAAGGATCTGTGCTGTTTTGGGATCAGTGTTTACCTTCCTGAAGCAATCAGAGGAGAGGTTCATGTACTGACGGCGTCTGTTTGCCTGTCTACGTGTGTGTGTATCCTCAGGTGTGGACTGACTCTTAATGTTCTCATCAGTCCTCACCTGACTGCTGCTTCATCACTGTTTCCTGATGTTCTAACCATGTTTCCTCCTCTGTGTGTGTGTGTCCAGTCTGAAGTGTGTGTGTCCAGTCTGAAGTGTGTGTGTGCTCTGATGTGCTTCTATGTAAGCTGCACAGTGTACTGCGCTGTGTGACAGCCTTGCTGGCTGTAGAGGAGGAGTGCCCCACCCACCACTGGGCCCCTGCATCTTCAACTTCCTCCTCCTCTTCCTCGCTGCTGTCGCCAGACTTCCTATTGTTTTACTGCTGCGTCATGGCGCTCCTCTACGCCGCCTACTGCTGTCTGCTCACCTAGCGCAGCACCTCGGAACCCTGTAGCTGTCTCTGGAGCCATGTGAGCAGTGTGTGTGTCAAATACACACCAAGACTGTAGAGCAGAGGCCCTCAGCTGCTCTGGCTGCTCTTGCTGCAGCCATGAAGAACACTGACTGGCAGGATAGATGGGGGGACAGAGCCAAATGGAGCTGTGGTTCTGGAAAGCACGGCATGCTGGGAAAAGTGGCGAGGTGTGTCTGACACAGAGCTTGTTGGCAGCACAAAGAGAAGCTGAAACAGAGAAACCAGATCTAACAGAGTTGCAGGAAACCCTGAACGTTGTTTAGTAGATCTATCTGAACTGATCTGATCTGTACATGCGCTCTGTGTTCAGGGCGGTTTTTTAACCGCTTCAGCTCCAGCTGAAAGCTTGATTGGAGGCAGCTCACTCTCTGATGGGTTTATTTTTCAGACTATAGGATGTTTGTCCTTTCCTTCAGTGCATCAGTGATAAACATGCTGCAAACCCACCATGTCCAATATTTCATTTTTCCTCTAACAGACAGAACGATGTGGGTCAGTTTGTTAGAGCCCTGGTGGAAATGTGTAAAAGCATCAGGATAAATGGATCTTTTATTGCAGTAGTATAAACTGACATTCTGGAGAAATCCAACTTTTATTTTGAGGACATTTGTCCATTTATTAGTTGTCACCATAACAGCAACAGACCAATCATTGGTTTCCCTGGTGTAAACATTTCCTCCCAGTCTTCTCCAGGAGTCTTTAACAGAGTACAGTTCTATAGACAGAGGGATAACTTCAGATCTCTGATCAATCATTTCTCTCTCTGCTTCAGATCAGCAGAGAGTTTGTGCAAGACTTAAGAAATAAGACAATTATTTCTTAAGTGACTGACATGCTGAACCATTTCTGTCTCCATTTGGATCATTGTTCTGTGGAAATAACTCTTTTTTTTTTTTTCTTCAGGTACACATTATTACACTTTTTAATTTCAAATGTTAGCTCATGATGTCATGCACTCAGTTTCCAGGCTCTGGACTACAAACAGACCCAGAACATCACAGGCCCTCGACCATGCTTAACAGCTGGAATGTGATTCATTTTATAGCAAAGTGTTTGTTCCTGAGAAACTTGGTCTCATCTGACCAAAGCCCAGTCCTGCTTAAAGTTTTTGCAGAGTTCAGCAAACCCTACATGGGTACAGTGATGGTAGGGCACCACTAACTAACTAGTGATGCCCTAACTAGACCATTACAACCTTTAGACAGCAATCTAATGGTTGTTATAGAGCTTTTGACTTGTTTCTACCTCCATTCTCATCCTGATCACTGTGTGTGGTGACCAGATAAATATGGCTCCTCAAAAGAAATGGACATCTGTGTCACATCATATGTATTCCCCAGGGAATCAGGAAGTCCTGAATTACTAACTACAAGTTCCCAGAAACTCTGGTCAACTTAAAAAGTTACATATGTTTTTTTGTTTTGGTTTTTTTTTTTCAAAAAAGAAGCTTAGGTTGTGTTTATATCAGCAGTTACCATAACAACCATTTGTAATTAAGACCATTATTGCTTAAGTGACTGAATAAATGCACTGATAAAGGGTTGATTTTTCTACATTTGTGTGTGAGATTATGCTGCTGCAATAAAAGATGTATTAATTTGTAAGCATGTGACACATCAGGCCCAATTTATTTGTCGAGTTCTTCTAGATTATTCTGATTCTACCAGCAGTTTTAGGCTAAAGAAGTCCCAGTTTTCCATCTGATTTGATTTGTTTGAATTTTTCCATACAGAGAAAAAGAAGATATATTTATGACTTACAGGTACATTTTCTGGTTGATAGATTTAAAAGTTTTTGAAAATGGTAATGTCGCTAAAGACTCCAGCCATCCTTTCTATGAAACAAATACGCAATATTAGAGTATTTATATTATTCTCCTAGATCCTAATTAATCTGCATTCTGCATCACATCATAATATACATATATGCACATGCATGAAGGTCATGACGAGATGTTTACCCAGTAGAGGTCTTACTCAGATTAATACATAGTTAAAGCTCTACAACAATGACATCTACTGTGATTTTCATCTCACAGTTCCAAAATCATATGCTGATTAATGCAGCTTCAAGTTGCAAAAAAACTACAACTTGAGCCATGCATCTCCAGGTGTTTCACTTGCTCTGTCTCACCTGGAAGCCTCTGTGATCTGGTCACTCTGTGGTTCTGGAAGTCAGCTGAACTCTTTGTGCCTCCAGAGGAGTTCCAGCATTTCTTCCTCAGTTTCCTGAACTGTGAATGTGATTTTTAACCCTTAGAAAAATGCAAGTTCAATGTTGGATGTGAAGTGTTGGTGTGTGCCACTGAATGTGCCGGGCAAAAAGTGCTCAACACTGAGATTGATTTTATGCATGCTGTTTTACATGGGAGCAGCAGATGGCTCTGTTGCTCCATCAGCTCCCCCCAGTTGGTACAGAGCTTTCCAGGAGGTTGGTTGTGTGTGTGCGTGTGTGTGCGTGCGTGTGTGCGTGCGTGCGTGTGTGTGTGTGTGTGTGTGTGTGTGTGTGTGTGTGTGTATGAAGTCCTTGTTGTTGGCACTTCAACAACAAGTGCCAACAACAAGACTTATACAAGTCCTGCTGACTTGTATAAATATAAACAGCTTATTAAATTATTGCGTTTATTTATATTTATTACGTTCTACTTTGGTTTGTATAGAAGCAGTAGAAGTTTTCTGAGGAAATTAGTTCAGAAATTCAAAATCACAGCAGATTAATATTAAGATTAAGTTAAGCTAACAGTGAAGCTTTGGTTTACTCTTGGCTCCACATCTACCAAACCGCTAGACAGTCTATGCAGCTTTCAGCACACAGTCACCTATCTGGTGTCTTAGCTCATATAGAAGGTCAGGGCCTGCAGATAAACTCACATTAGAACTCATTACCATATGGAGTTTAAAGGCAACATTTACTGCAGGATTGTAGGAGTTTTGGTTAGAACAGTTTAAACTGCAACTATTACAGAAAGATGTCTGAATTATAGAATTACAGAATTCTGATTACAGAAAGATGTTTTTGTTAATGTCTGAACAAAAAAGTAAAACTAAAATGAATATTGATTCATTCTCAAAACGCATCCTTTGATCATTAGCTATAGTTTATATTGAGAACCAGGGTTAACTGGGTGAGTTTGTGAGCAGTCAGTATCTCCCACCTGCAGTAGATGAATGGTAGAAGGTATTCTAGGTTTAGGTCCCTGCTTCATGCTTCCATCACCTCCACTGGGGTCAGTGACATGTTCTCTACTGCAGTTAAGATGCTCCTCATAACCACAACTTCCCTTTATAGCTGAGAAAATAGTCATAAACAAATGGTGGCAGATGACCATTTTGCATGATCAAAATTCAACCCCTTAATAGCCAGTGATTGACATTTTCAGCCGCTTTAAACATCTACCACCATCCACTTCTGAACCTTTCATTCAACAGTCCAGATGTTGCTGCTCTGCATGCCTTCTGAACAGGCCGTCGGCCTTCGACTGGGGATTATCTCACAAACCGCAAAATCCCCTATGTCCACCCAGTGTTGCTAACACTGCGCTCCATTCATATTCAGTCATTTCTGTGTTCCAAGAAAAAACAAATTAACCAAGAAAACTGTGGGCCAGTCTGAGGTTCCTCCACAACCTCACCATCAAATGTTGCTGCAGAGCATTAAATTGCAAATGGAAGCTAGAAGAAGACCCTTTTTTTGCCTTTTACTGGTAGTGAGTCGCTCACATATAGTGACTAACGTATAGTTAGCCTTGTGCCTGAGCTCAACCACTTTGAGAGCAGCGTCTGGAACACAGGCATTCCCAGATCTGATTCCTGACTTTCAAAGCACATTGATGATGGTGGTGTGTTTTTTTTGTTTGTTTTTTTTGTTTGTTTTTTTTAACTTGCAGCGACATCTAGAAGATTGATTTTTAGAATTGTTTTCTCATTTTTTCAGCTAGCTGGAGCAAATGTTAAATCTTTCTGCAGTTTATGAACCAAACATCAGAGAAGAAGAAAAGGCCTGTATTACTGAGAATTAGAGGAAACCCAAATGAATATTAGGAGACTGTTTCTATGTTCATCACCATTCTAATTTACAAAACATTTTTACAATATTTAATTTGTAATGCTTATTGATTGATTGATGGGCATTTAAACTGGTTTAACAGTTATATGAGCTCTGAGAAAGGTCACAACTTCCCTTCTGTTTTATTAATCTGCTGTTATGAGAATGATTTCAGTTCAAATGTATATTTTGAGTGAAAACTGGATTTGCAATAATTCCTTCACTGGCTTAGACCAAGCTATATTTCTACATTTGTTAGTGAAACAGAAACTTTGTATTTTATATTTACATAACACTCTTTTTGACTTTAAATGACTGTTTTCCTTTCTGCTGTAAAGAACTGATTAAAACTGAAACTTTGACCCTGTGCCAGTTTGTGCCAGCTTGCTGTCATGCCTTTGCTTAATCAGCGATCAGTTTGTGTGCTCAGGGTATCTGCAGTCACCTCA